TTATGGCATGGTTTTGTAGAGAATTCAATAAGGAATCTTTTGGAAAAAGATTTGGATCGATAGGATAAAAGCCGGCGGAGTTATATTCAAAATACGGGAGTGCGTTTATTTATGCGCCACCCGTTAGTATAGAGTAGGCACTTGCATTCTTTGGGATATATTTCTGCTGTAGAAAAATCGCGCAGAATTCTGAACGAGAAGTTTAATGGAAAAGTAGAGTTTTCGGCAGAAAAAAATTCTGCATAGTTTGGAAAAAAATTTCGCCGTGAATTAATGTTTTCCGTCTGAAAATTGAAATTCCGAACGAAAAAATATTTTCCCTTAGGAAGCTGTGGAATAACGCTCATTTGCTTTTACTGTGCAGATCAATGTCTCACTTGGAATGACCAAATAGCTATATTACAGAAAAAGTCAGTAAACGCTTGAACATCATCAGAGCATTACGCTTTGCACTTGCTAGACCAGAGTGCATGCTGCTAATATATCATCTTTAATAATGGCTACAAGATCATCTAATTCGCATTGCTTGTACGAAGTACTGTACTTCTGATTGATCAATTTTCTTATTAGTTTTGATTTATTTGGATTGTTGTCATTTATTGTTGAGTGTAAATTTAATAAACTGAATAGAACTGGATAGTCATAGTATTCCAAAATCTCACGCAAATTTTTAAACTATATCTTGTTTGCATCTGTGAAACTGCTGCTTTCGTTGTAGTTCATCTAGAATACGTCAAATGTAAACAGAAGCTGAATTAGATCTAACATTGGTTTTAAACTTAATCTTTTATTATGAAATTTCTAACACTAGCCACTAGATCTATTCCTCGTGAATTCCGACCTGTAGAATTTTATTTACAGAAACATGAACTCAGTTGATAACGAGCACAGCTAAAAAATATAACAACAATCACAGTTTAAACAACAAACAAAATGAAGAAACGATCACAATTAAATAAGAAAGCGAACAAACTTGATAAAATATAATAAATAACTAGGATGAAAAGATGAATAAAAGAAAAAGGAGAGGGCGTGTAAGGTCAGTTTTCTGCCTTGAATATTTTTAAAAGAAAATCACATATTCAGCATCAGCGTCGAATTCTGAGCAAAATGAGGTATCTCTTAGCCTGATCAAGTCACTTTCGATTTTTTCGAAAATTTTTCACTCTTCCTTCCTCAGAGACAAAGAAATTTTTTTTCTCAGATTTTGACAAAGTATACCTCATTCGAATCAGAATTGCATACTGTGTAAAAAATTGATTTTCGCCGAAAAAAATTGTTTTTTTGTTTTCAAGCTATAAGTGACCTATATGTTAATAGTGCAGCTAGCGTCCAAGGATGTAGTTTGAAAGGCTCCAAAATCCCTCAGATATGCTCAAAAATGAATGAGCGTTCCAAATCTAACCAAAAGAGCGCTCCAAACTAACATTTTCCACTCAAAAAACCATTTTCAAGCTAAAAAACGAGGAAGATATCTCATTTAGAAAAAAGTTTGGTGCTCAATAGAGCTTGAACAATTAAACACACTTATCAACTTTCGGATGTGGAGTTTACTCGATAGATGCCCATTTGTAACCTTGGTAGGATATTCTGGATATTTTGAACACTTTCAAATGTATTTGCCATTTTACTGTATGTTTCTGCTAGCACTTTATGGTTACTTGGATCAGTTATCAGTAGATCGTTAAGTGCTAATAAATAACATTTACATGCGTCACCACATTTATGTTGGTCTTCGAAGTCTTTGGCTTTTTCGATATAGATTCGAAATTTCTCAGACAATTCATGATCGTCATTTTCTGGTTGCTCCCGATAGATTGCTGAAATACTTTTGCAAACCTGAGAAGCTATAGTATAATCTGATTTTGGCTCTATTATTATATAATTTAATGCTTTATTATAATTTTGAAGGGCTGCTTGTTCATTTTCAAGACTCAAATACGCGTCGGCAATATAGTTGTAAGTTTTAGCCAAATCGATGTTTGATGAACATTTTAAATATATTTCCACTGCATTTTCATGACATTTGATTGCTGCTTCATAACGTTCAGCATCTTCATAGATCACAGCCATATTATAATATGTGGATGCAAGGTCTTTGTGCGCTATACTCAAATGATTTTCACTATTATTCGATGCATTCTTGTTTGATAAGTCTTTTAATCTTATCTGCAATGCTTTTTCATAATAGGCCAGAGCATCATCGGGCATCGACTTCAGAACTAGAACTGCGGCAATTTCATGATAGTTACGTGCATACTGTAAATGATCAGGTGAAACAGAATCTGCTTCTAATTTCAGGGACTTTCGATAGCATTCAAGTGCTTCGTCAAATTTACTCTCCCGCATATAAACTTCACCGAGCCGCTGATATTTTAATGCTAAACTTGCACCAGTTGCGCTTGATGAATTGAGCTCAATATCCAACGCTAATAGATAATTTTTAGCTGCTTCATCATACTTTTCTTGCTGGAAATGAATATTACCGATATCAAAATGAGTTGTTGATAATAACAATTGAGTCAGTTCATGTGTATTCCATAGAAGATGAAGTGTTTTTTCAAACATTTCTAATGCTTCTGGAAGCAAACCAAACTCGTATAATGTTTGACCAATTCCAGAGTATGTTTCAGCAAATAAACGATCATATGGTGAATTTAATTGAGTAATGTCGAGTATTTTCTCATAGTTTTCAATTGCAATTAGCCATGCATCTACTTGCGCAAAATAGTGACCAGCTGTACGAGCAGTTACAGTTTCTCGGTCCTTTTTGATAATACGTACTGCTTGAATACGAAATGATTGTATAAACATTCTCATCGCTTTCTCTAGCTGATTGGCATGTTTACAAGAATATCCAATCTTATTATACTGCTCTATAATATCAAAATGAGACTCATTATTATGATGATAAACAAAATATTCTTCGAGTGCGTTTTCTTGGCATGCTATTGCTTCTTCCCATTTGTTTGTTTCTAATAAACTACGAGCTTTAGCGTTGTATGTAACAGTCAGAAGCTCAGCTACTCTGAAACGTTCTCGTAGACCTGCTTCCTTTTGTCTAACTTGTAATATTTTCAACGCATTTTGATGACTTTCTATTGCATCTGTATACCGCTGCTGCATATAGTAAACGGCGCCAATAATGTTATATGTATGAACTAAATTGAACTGTGATGCAGGTAACAATTTCAGATTGATCTGAATCGCATCTTCTAAATATTTCATGGCCTCACTATACTCTTTTGCAAAACCATGGACATCGCCCATGTTTGTGTAGACAGTAGCTACAGATTGATGATCAACACCATACACCTTTAAAAATATATTGAGTGAACGTTTAAAATTATTTAATGATTCTAAAATATTTTTTTGTTTAAACTGAAGTATTCCAATATTATTGTAAGTAGAAGCAGTAGTGGAATGTTCTGGTGGCAGTGTTTTTTTTTCAATTTCAAGCGCTTTTTCATAATTGCTGAGAGCTTGGGTCACATCACCAATTTCACTCCACACTAGTGCAATATTATTGTAGGTGATAGCAAATTCCGGATCAAAAGTGGGCAGCAATTTCAATTGTTTTTCCAATATCTGATTATACAACGTCAGTGATTGCTCATATTTGCCTTGATGACGATATGTAAAAGCCATGTTATTATAAATTCCAATCATGTGTTCTTCGTTCAGTAGTTCAGTTGATGTAATTATCTGCATTGCTTTACGATACATATCAATTGCCAGATCATAGTCACCCATAGAGTCATATAACAGTCCCAGTCCAGCATATGTATTGTGTAACATCGGATGAGGATTATTTTCGGTTGACTGACTATGTTCTATAACAAGAGCTTTATCGAAATATTCGGTAGCTAAAGAATATTCACCTTTGCCTCGATACACGAATCCTAAATGGTGGTAAACATCTGGCAGATTTTTATGATTCGACGATAACTCTTCAAGTAGAATTTTATAATATTTTTCAGCTTTATCATAATCATCGATAAATAGAAAAATCTTGCCCAAATTAAGCAAAGACGGTTTTTCATCTAAAAATTGAGTTCTGATATGCTTTGAAACTTCTTGTAATTCCATGTTGTTTTTACTGTCTAACCTAAGTTTTATCATCCATAAATTTTCAGTCATTTGTTCAATTGATTCAATACGAAATACTGTTCCAAATGACTTATGCAATAAGGATGCACCAACAAATAAATATATATAGTCCTTGTCGATTCTGATAGGCCAAACGGCTGTTTAGCAGAGTTAATGATTACAGAAGGTAGGATCTTCGACAGAAGATAAATTGTTCCTTTTGCAGGGCGAGATTCGGGAATGTCTCTGATCTTAGAATTTGTTTTTGTACTCATAGCTCAGGTAGATGTTTTTACCCAATAAAATTAGCCTTTTATTCTTTAACCTACGATCATACTGGAAAATAGTGTCGTTTTTTGCTGCGACATAACAAGCGACGTATTATCTTTCAGCGAGTTGTGTGTACTTCGATAAAAATATTAGCATTTTTCTTCCATAGTTGTGAACGAAATTGCAAAGAGATAGTACTTTCCCAACCCCAAAAATATACGAAATCGAAGGAAAATGTATTGTTAAACTTGTTCTTAATGGACATATGAATCCAAACTACTACTTTAAAGTGTTTGTAAAAAAGACGTTTTTTCTCTACGGTAATGTCTTTTGATCGCTCTCAATTAATTTTAGATGCGATCATTGACGGAAACTAAAACTGTTTATGTCATAGAACCGTGAGTTTTTCAAAGTTTTTGGAAACATGGTTTGATAGATCAACCACTTATTTTGCAATGTTTAGATCGACGCATCTTATCGAATGAATAGATATTATCAAACATCCTGCCACTTTACTAACTGTTTTCATTATAAATGAGACACTTTATATCACAAGCACTGGACTAATCCTTATTTTGTTTTTATATCCTTCTTGAATACATTCTATAGAAAATAATATTTCGTTTTCATTCGGTATATAACTGACTTGATTAATATTAGAAAATGGTGGTATACTGTCATCATCATCATTGCTCTTCTTTTCATCGAGAGGAATATCGATTTCGAACATAATAGATTCGTATTGTGGACGACCACTACCGTCACCAGCAAAGGTAACAGCTGCTTCACACGATAAGGATGTTGATAAAAATGTATTCATCGAGATATAACCATTTTTATGTAATTTCAATCTTTCTAATTCTTCAGCTGCCATATGTTGGCCACGATAAACCGTTAAAATATTTTCTTTCGTTGATACCACTTTGAGATAGGATGGATGCATTTGTTTTAATTGTTGATAAATATCAGAAATAATATGTCGAAATTTATAAATAATATCGAAATTTTCAATTCGCAATGCTTTATTTAGAAGGCGATAAAGAAAACAATCACGTGTATACCATTTGATAGCATCTTTTGGAGTATAAGTATCTTTAAATTCTTCAATCCTAGAAATTTCAATTGGATTATTCTGATATTGTTTTCGACATATTTCTAACATATCATTTTTAGCTTCATCATTGGGATATTCCATCATAATCAAAATTTCAATTAACAACTGGAACCACATGAACATTCCACCTTCATAATCAAGATCACGCAGTGTTTTCTGTCGTATATTTGAATGTAATAATCTCATAGGTAAAAAATTTTGTATACACGATTTGACATCTAATTCAACCTTTTCCAGTAATAATGTTTTATCATCAAATAGACGATTATCAAGTTTTTTATATTGTTTTGTCCATTGTTCATGTTTTATTTTATCATGACAAAAAACATAGATATATGTTATTTTTGGAAAATTATGAATTTTTTGTACAACTTGTTCACCGTATGAACCAGATACAATAAAAAAAACCTTTTCTTGCTTTACATTTGCAATATAGTTAACACATTGCTCCATGTCTACAAATGTTTCTAACCAATTAACGATTCCGCGTAGACGAAATTGAGTATCTTTACAATCGTCAGATTGATCGATTTTAGCATCAAGCCAAATCAATGTCAAATCTTCGAGATTTTCATCTTCATACAAATGCAACGTAGATACATAATACGACGGTCGTACAACGTCATCCATCATGTAAGGCGAATACAATATGAATGAATGACTTGTTAAAGTATGCTCTCAATTTTCTTACTAAAAGAGTGATCGAACACAACACGTCTTTTTCTTTCTTGTTTTATTTATTGACATAATCTCAATAGAGCTCTATTTCAGTGCTTTTTCTTTATCTCGGATACGACAGCATTCGACCACATTTGTTAAAGCACAATGGAAAAGAAAAAAGACTTTTTCAATATGAGAATGAGTCATCACTTTACAACGATTATCTAAACGAGTTGTTTTACTGATGACGCATAGATCATGCAGAAAGAAAAAGATACGAAATCATGCAGACATAAAAAAAATGCAGATAGAACGCTATTTTTATATGACGTCATTCCTTTTTTCAGAAAAATTCCATCAATCACTTCTTCCATCACATTTCATCTATAAAATTTCTTTCTTGCTTAAATTATTTAATCTTTTGCATATTTCCCTTTTTGTTTTGATGTTGTTGCATCTTGTCCATCACTGCCAGTCTCGTTTGTCCAATAAGTCTTGTGTACAGCGATCACATTTGATTTTGTACACCGCGCCAGTACCCGTATCATTAAGTCTGATAATTCTTGATGAACATTGTCCGTAACGGTTAACCCTTCGCAGTGCAGGGTTAATTTTGATAGTATAAAAACAGAATGATATAACGAGAATTAAATATTCTTGCTTTCATTCTGGTTCAAGAAAAAGCGTGTTGACTGAACAAAATCCATCATAGTAGGCCTGCATCGAAGATGGATGGCGATTTCTGGAAAAGTTTTTAAAAACCGAGGAAAGTTAATGTTGATGATGAAAATAGTATTATACGACGTACAAGGTATGATACTAAATGCGGTGTATCAATTATGTAGAACAAATTAAAATGGCGTGAAATATGCGCATGGAAGATGATATATTATTTTCCACTTTATCTTATCCAGTATGTTCACCCACGGTTAACAGTTTGAACAAAAGCACTACCTTATATAATAGTGGTACAACTATTGTCTCCTTCTATTCGTATTATAACGCGCATGCGCAAATTAATTCTGACAAAATAAATTGAAAAACACGTTTTAGTTCTTCAACGACAGTGCTACTTTTAGCAGATTAATTTTGGAAGATGAAACTGCACCTTCTCTCGTGAATTGTAGAGTCTAATACTATCCTTTGATCTGTTAGCTATGACTCGGACTTATGTGTGTACATTTAAAGCAATGCGCACATTTAAGCCTTAGTGAATCGGAACTACAAAGGCCAGTTGAATCAGATAGCAGTTCGCACCAGTTGAATTATTTGATCCAAGTAGTATTTTTGCCGATTTCCGCCGAATGAACTTGTTTAAAAAAGTTAACATTTCTGATAAAAAGAAAATTAAAACAGTCATAAAAAAATCAGCTTAGATGGAAGGGATCCTCGTTCTAACCGGAAAAAACGCCAACATTAAAATATGGTGTATCTAGAGATTCTAACTTAGAACCCAATAGGAATTTATCTCTGTGATACTTTTTAAAATCTTTTTGTTTCGCTTATATATGTTGTTATTATTTTGTACACATCTTTGTGAAGGTCAAAGTCAAAGTTTCTTCGCAGTAGTAGTGTCTGTATAGCAATGCTAATATGAGGATCACGTTGCTTTATTTTTTCAAATAGTTTCACTCTAGCTAAACGATAGTTGGGACAATGAAGGAAATAATGTTTCACAGACTCAACTTGCCCACATTGACAAAGGTCAGCTCCATGGCCAGTTACACTATGTCTGCGAAACAAATAACTTTTTAAGACTGAGAAGTCAACTCTCATTTGTTGAAAAGCAATATCAACAGTTCTTTCTATTCCTTTTACCAGTGGCATCTTTTCCACAATCTTATAATGTCGAAGAAGTTCATCGTTGAAGTGAGTACACTTATAAATTTTTCTAAGCTCTAGCGGAAGCTTGTTTCATAGTTTAATCGTTTGCGGGAAATAGAACGAACAAAAAGCTTCGCTTCTACCACATATCGGTTGAATTTTACTTGACCCATTCGATCTAGTGCCATAGTTATTATTTATCATTGGTGTTATATGATTACAAAGAAAAATCGGCACCTGATTGACACAATTTTATTCATTAATTTCAATTTATAAATTTCAACTGACGTTTCTAAAACAGTCCATCCTAAAATTTTTCGTACTTTCTCTGGATTAGATAAGTGTAATGATCCTGATACCAACAAACTAGCTCTATATTGAATTTCATCGAAACTGTGGATGTTATGTTTATTTATATAAACACAACATGCATATGTTATTATCGGATATATAAATGACTTATACATCTGATTAAGTGTTGACGTGCTAAACGTTCTTTTAAATTTTTTCATAAAGTTTTCTCAGCCGAAATTTTTTCAAATAATAAGGGGGCGTATCCTTAAGCAGTCGTCGCTCTTTTGGAAACCCAATAAAAATGAGACCAATATACCTTTACTCGTCCCTTTTTGCGAGCACTTTTATACTGATTTTTGGCTCAAAGCACGGGGGTCGACAAGAGGCAAAATCGTCCCCTCTCAGATCAAGCTCATAAACAAAGATTTTGATGTCTTTTTAAGTTTTTTCATTTTGTATTCTTTGTTCTTCCATACATTGCTTTTGGCTTCATTCAAAATTTTTTTTCTTTTCATTATAACGCTGATTGATGATGGCTCTTTTCATTTATTTTTTCACTTCTTGATTTATCAACATTTTCTCAGTCATTTGTTCACTAGGTGGATGGTGAGACTGAGGCTATTGGGATTTCTTTTGCCTTTTGTTCACTGTGATATTTTCATCGTTTCTAATAAATCAACACAACTAAAATAGAATCTAGAGCAATTCGTACAGACAGGCGCGTTGATTACAAAAAAAGTGAAATGTCAGCTTTTGGAAGTAAAACATATTCAGAAACTACCAGAAATCTGTAGTTGTAACTTAGACTATGTTTGTATTTATGTACAAGGATTTGATCTAAGCTTTAGTCTATTGTAGCATTGCTAATAAGAGTTAACACAATAACATGTAGCTTTATAATCGAATCTAAGATCCATGGATACATAGCCCAAAAAGAAAATTTAACGCAAATAAGAACAAGCTACACTCGTAGTAAAACAAAAGAAAGATCACAGCAATGTAAGCAAAGACAAACACAAAGTAGATGCGTAAATTCTGAAAATAAATATAATACTTTAAAGAGAACATAAGTGAAATAGACCAAAGAAAAAGTTTAGAAGAGAGACAATTATGTTAGTACGTGGTGATATAATTTGGAGAGAATAAGATTCACATCTGAACTTCCTACAGTATCACCGCATTAACTAGAAGAGCTAATGATTCTTTTTCAATTGAGCTTTTCAAAAAAGTAATTTCCAATCAAGAGATCAGTAAGAAATGTGATGGTTGTCACAAGATTTTGTGGTTGCGCAGCGTGATCCGGATACCGAAGTGGAAAATGCTTAAGGGTTTCTGCTGTAACCTCATTGAAAGCACAGCAAAGAGAAAGCATTAAATTTCTTAAGCATATATAGTCATTTCGCTGTAAGAATCTCACTCTGCATCTGCAATAATTTACGTTTCCATCACGATTTTTAACAAGTGGAGAAGATGAGAGACGTTTAGCGAGAATTTTTTCACTAACAGAGTGTTTCTTGTACGAGGATTCTCACCTCAATAGACATCTAGAAGTTTTTCAACTTCTCCCATTCCTTTGTCCGCATTACTTCAAACCTTCTTCCTACGATCTCGATAAATGAGAATATCATTATACAGATCGATGGAATGCTCTTGAATATAATCCATTGTTAATCGAACATCTTTTATTTGATGATAATATTGTTCGCTAATTGTAATTGATCCTGCTACATGGGCTTGATTCGAATTTTCTAAATATGTCTCGTCCATACTGGGTACAATTCTGAAATGTTTTGTATTCTTGTTTTTGTAATATTTGCATTTTTCATTGCACACATAATTCCCGTTGTATCAAAATGTCATTAAAATAACATATTCTTTTTTGATAAGAAACATATTCGTTGGTTGAATGTGGTCTTTTAGCACAGAATTATATCCCGTACAATCCAATATCAGTGTAGTAGGAAAATTGCGTGACTAGTATTTATTTTACTTTTTATGTAAGAAGAAACTTGCCATGGATTAACGCAAGCGTCAAAAAAACATCTGGTATCCTCCGATTCAACTAGATTACTAGATTTTTAAGATGCACGTAAAGCAATGTATTTCGAAATTTTAGTTGGTTTTCAGTTTTCGCTGAAAGTCTCGATAATTTTTCAACACAAAAATTCGAAAAAAACTAAAGTAGTCCGACAGAATAGAAATACGCAACAGTCGACTCAGCCTTTTACCCTAATGCCGAAAATGATATTTTTATTGGACTAAAGTTGAGTTCTGATGGAGAAAATGGGGAATTACGAGTAGAATTCTGACTTGTTCACTTCTAATTTAGAAAAAACGAATTTTTTCAACAGCAGAAAGGAATTTCCAAAAAAGCTCTACATACGTTTTTTTTTTCATCTAAAGGAGCATCGAATGTGATGTAAATCGAGGCTCCATCCCTTAACAGAAAAAACTAGATAGGTTTGCTAAATGACTCACTCTTCTTTTCCAATGTCGAAATTCGAATGTCCATGGCAGACAGGCGTTTACCTTCGAAATGGATTTAATATCATTCTTTAAATCAGCTTTTAACGTTGAATAAGAAAAAAATAGTTTGAACGTTTCGACTAAAAACCCAAGCCGAAAATTCGAACATCGTCGTTTTTTCGAGTTTTCAGACCCTTCAAGTTTTTCTATTTTTCGACTCGAAAAGAAAGTTTCAAAAAATGAAAAACTACACATTCTTGATCTGCTTGTGCTTCTCATATGCACTATAGCACCTATACAGAAATTGACTCTTGTGGTTTTTCTTGTACTGGCTTCGGGTTAGGTATGTAGTGAACTTAATTCTGTTTTACATAGAAACTAAAGGCCAGATACGTTTGGCAAAGACTGAAAGACGCTGAAGTGGAACTTGCTTGCTGAGAACCCTTATTCAACTTAAGAGAGGTTCCGTCGAAAAACCAATCTGCTACACCCAGTTCGGCCGGAAACGAAATTTAATTTTCGCTTTTTGTTATCCAGTTTGGAAGATCATACAAAAACAGCGGTCAATGGTCAGTTCGGATCTTATCTGAAAGAGAACGATCTCTACAAAAACATGTATACGGTTATACTGGGAATATTTGTGCTCGAGGGCTAGATGGTAAAAACTGAAATATTTGACTATTTTAGGTATCGTATTTTTTCACTATTTTGGGGCGTTTTCCAGTGGTATAGCTATCCCAAAAATAAATCTTATCAGTTTGTAGACCAAAGAATTCGGCTTCGAATGATAAATAAGAGGCGAAAAGTTTGCAAAATTTGTTGGCGCCGTTTAAGGTGTCTAAGCCTGAAAAGTAGAAAAGTTCTTAACTTTCGAAAGTAGAGCCATACACCCCAATTCTTTGTGGGTTATCACTAGGACACTATATAGTATCTATCGGTAAAAGATCGTTGAAATCGAGTTGGGCAGTTGGCGATGATCCCTCGTGAGTTGATTCGCGTCGTTTTCTTGTGATTCGTGAGAAAAGTCCTTTGATTTGAATTAGTGTTAAATAATAGTCAGTACCGAATAATGAATCATTATCAACTTGTACGGTGGTCAAATCATCAGCGACGTCTACTGGATCCCATTTTAATGCACCTTTTTTCCACCCTCATCGTATTTTTGAATCAACGTTGTGTTTGTTCCTTGGTAAAGCATATATTTAGTTTTCGTTGCGCCAATACCCCAATTTTAATTAACAATAGAGGTTGCTTTTGTGTAGTAGTTTGAAAAACTTCGAAATTTTTCAATGACGGAGCAATCTTAACTTTCTCCCTTTCTGAACGAACAAAACCTGTTATTTCCATCGCTGCTAGCATTTTTCTCGTTTGAGCACTCAAAATATCGAAGGATGCTGAGTTGTCGAACTACGCCAAGCTTTTGTCGTCTCCTGTTCTGAGATTTTTAGCGAATTGTGTGAGGTTCAATAGTTAATTTTCTACGTAGATAGATAGAGAATTTTGTGCTTTATCGATCTCACTCATTTACCACTTCATACAATGTTTCTACTACGCCAACTGGACTTATAATTAGTTCTCAACCGGCTTTTCAACTTTTTCAAATAAAGTTAACTTTTCTAGTTAATGGTTTCAGTTGCGAAACTTTATTTAAACATCACAAGATGCAGACTTTAATTCTGTGTAAAATAATAAAACTAAAACACGGTATTCAGTAGGTTTTACTGTTTTCATAGTAAAAAAACTAAAGTCTGTGAAAAATAAGCTCAAAAGTTAGGTTTCCTAGATTTATCACTTTTTTCCACCGAGAAATTTTCCCAGAAGACTTAATTGCAAAATTTCGGAAAATATGTGAGATGATGCAGATTTGTCTGGTGAATCTTCTGATGTCTTTAAAATTCTTACAGAATCTGTGTTTCGATCAAGGCAAATATTTTTCTATTTTCACTGTGTAGCAGTTAGGCAACTCAGCACCCTTCGAAATTTTGAATGGTGCTCAAACGAGAAAAATGCTAGCAGAGATACAAATAACAGATTTTTTAGAGAATTTAATTTTCTGTCGATTGAGCTTAGGACAAGCTCGTTGACCACTAGGCAGTGCGTCAAAAACAACAAATTGTCTAATTTTATCTTTGCCAGCTGATATGGTCGCCATGCTATTACTTGAATGTCATCTTTCGTTGATGTTTTTTCTTTTTGCCGTAGTTGCACTGGAAACTTTATCGTATTGAATATTATTATAATGGACAATTTTGTGTTGAACCAACTGCATCAACAAATTCTTTAGCATTAGTACAATCGTGTTTTTCATTCACATAACGACGAATATTACATTTAATAACAGAAGCCATACGATCACATGGACCTTTTCCTAATTATGGATCAAAAAAATCAACACGATGAATTCATATGCCAGTTTGTTCGTATATTTGTTCACACGCTAACAACGCTTCTGCTTCATGGTAACATCCTACATTATCAGTTCTAAGGTATGCAAATTGGAGCTCGGCATTCCAGTATTTTAATCGACGAAGTACATCTACAAGAATAGTAATGACCATTATTTGATTAATTGGTTGTAAATCAGATCAGCCTACATGCGAATAATAAATACTCAAGCTGTGAATCACACTCACGTTCACCAATGCTAGGTGAATCACATCAATCTCTCAAACTCTTTTTGTCACCACCACCAAAATATGATTAAATAAAGGTGTCTTAATCTCTTCAATTTAAAATAAAATTTTTCACAATACTTCGTTAATCAACACTGCTCTTTCGACCACTGATGTTACAACTCGCTTTTCAGTGTCTTGTGCATCGTAAGCGTTCCGTCTTTCTCTGTTCCGTTGCCTTTCTTTATAATATTCCTTAAATTAGACATCTTTTTTCTAATTTCTAATATTTTGGTGATTCTAATGCTATAAGAAAGACATTTTTCTCCAATTTACCCGTTAATTGGCTACATTGATGACATACCGTATTCGGCATGCCGTATGTTTTTTACAGAACAATTAAAAATGATACCATCAATTGCAAGTAATATGTTAATATTTGTTTAAACTATACATTTTGTAGAGGTAAGTTAGAAATTACTGTTTTCTTTGCATGAGTTATGCTCAGCATTGGAAATGATTCATACAAAAGATAAAACAAATGAGGTTTATTTACTTTTCTTTTTTATCACGACACGCAGGTGTTTCAATCCTCTGTTTTATTACAAAACCATAAAGAAACTATTCTTAATTTTACAGTTTTTGTAAATATTATATATATATTTATATAATTATTTAAATATACTATATTATTTAATAATAGATTTAAATATTAGATAAATATTTTTGAATACAATGTCAACTAACGAAAAATCAAATTTAACAAATGCTGACGAAACGTCAATGGTTGTTACTAGATTCCAAACTCAAGCACCTCTACAATCTACAACCAATGGTATAACTCCATTACAACCACAAGAAGTACAAACAGCTTATGTACAATGGCTACCTCCAGCTCCTATTGGAATGCATTACGTTTTATTACCAAATGATCAAAATGTAAGTAGTATAAATCCTAATACTACTCTTGGTGCCAATGTATGTTATCTTTGTAATGCAATTGCTAATCATCGTTGCACTAGCAAACGATGTGCAAGATTAATGTGTGTACTTCATAGTACACAAACGGCGGTGCCTCCCTATAGGGTAGTTTGTCTGGACCATAAAGGAGAAGCTGATAAACCTGAATGTTCAACACTGTAAACTGCTTTTAAGTTTTATTATCCATAAAGTTTAACATTTTCTACCATATAAAGTTCATGCTTTGTGTTTCACTTATTAATTATGATAATCTTTTTTCGTTTATTACTTTCAATTGATATACCAAAAGTTGATCTGACTGCATTTGTATATTTGCATTGATTTTTTTATTTGTGTTTACTCTATCTTGAGCTTTTTTTATTAATATCTTTAAAATATGTTAAATCTCGTTAACGTTGTAGTGTGTCAAATACCGTGTATGAATATTTTTGCCATTTTAACAACATTAATTAGAGAACTACGCTGTTACTGAATGATAAATAATTTTACATAACTGTTAATAAAATCTATGCGTATCCATTTTGCAAATGGTGGTTTTGTATTATTTCATACAATAAAATCGTTACACATTTTATCATACACCTCCATTTTCTCTTCTCATCCGCTCCCGTCCAAAGCTATGAGCGCGGATTTTCCACCCGGCACCCTAGTGACATGGTAGGCATTTTCTTCATGCGCAACTGCACTGACAGTGCTCGAGAACAACATATATTTAGGCAATACGGATGAGCGGACACTCTTCTCCGTCGAGGCCATTAACGGTCAAACAGTACAAGCTGATTTGCGTTTCGTTACCGAAGATGAAATTCTTCTTTTGCCCGGCACTCACATGGTGGTTCAAACGCAATTCATCCTGGCGTCCGATCTCTACATCATTCAGTTGAAACAGATGATACCGGAAGAAATGCCACTGGTCCCTTCATTCGAAGGTATTTTGAACACTTCCAATCGTTTGTTTTAAACTGAAATATTTCTAAAACTCTTAGATTCAAAAAGAGATGTCATCTCTGTATCTTACTCTCTCCTTCGAAAGATCTTTTTTCGGATCTGTTGCCGTTTGTAGCAGTACATTCATCAAACAACTTGGAACTAAGAATGAAATATTGATTGAATGATTCATTCGATTCCACAAAAAGTCTGCTTTTACAAACTTGAAAACATCTTGTATAACATATCCTTAAATGTAGACGCGTTAGCCATCAACCTGGGATTACAGTTCAAATTTCCTTCTTTTCTTTTATCTGCTCATCGCCATTAATGATATCTGAATTTGATGAATTGAAGAATGACACACTAGAGAAAACAGCACAACGTCTGTAAATCGATAAATCTGCTGAATTGTTTATGAATAAAACAAGATTCCAGAAGACAGAATTTAAAGGATCTCCGTTATTTCCGGTTCGAATCGTTAGAAAACGACCTACTGACTGATTGGAATTTCATTCTTTCAACGGATAAAAAATCGACCGGTTAGAATTCTGTCCTAGATTAATGAAAAGCCGTAAATTTTCTTCTGAAAATCGACTTTCGGAAAGAATGAACGGGAATTAAGAACCCGGTCACTACGCGAGTTTATCGCATACCGGGGTGCCAAACGTCAGGGTGGGTACGACCATGACCATGGCCTAAAAGTTCCCATATGGTGGGTACAGGGCGCAAAAACATGGCGTCTTCTAGTATTCTGACACTACTTACGCGCAAACATTAACACTAAAGACTCTTCTAACTCTTTCCAGTTCTTTCAAGTTCGAGCTCCCTATGCATGCTTACGAACGACCTACAGGCAGTCCGGTCTCATAGTCCGAACGGGATAAAAATACATCCTGATCGGGCTATGATATCCTGATCAGGATATATATTCCGTTCGGGCTATAATATATATCCTCTTCGGGCTATAGCCCAATCAAGATATATTTTTATATCCCGAATAGGATATAAAGTTTAAGTATAAGCGTACAACGTATACATTTCACACACATCGATATTCAATACTTTAAACTTTCATACTTTATAAACAGTTTGTTTAAACAGGAAACGGCGCCGAATCGTCAACGTCATACTGGAAACGTGTCTATTGAAAATAAACAGGGTTCGACAAAACGTGCTCAAAGTAAATATCGTCGGCGCGAAATATTGATTACTAAACCATCATGCCGCTTTGAGTGTGAACTATGACCACATTTGTTGCGATTATGACACCGTTTATGCATTTTAGTGCAGAAAAACACAGACCTCTTCGGTTTATGTAGTTCAAAATACACCGAAAAATATGTTAATTTAACTTCTTTCGGTTGACCGCAGGTCGCTAAGTGCTTCCGTTCTTCAGTCATTAAAAAAACAATCATGGGTTATTCTTTTTTTGAATGGACAATAGTACACATGCATGTTTCTTCTATTACATGTTTATAATAATAAGTTTTTTTGTCGATAGTGGTATCTATCACTTTTAATATTACCTACTGAAACATGTTACATCAACTTGAATCGTTGTCCGATGAAATTTTGATACTGGTGTTTTCATTCTTGCCAACAATCGATCTATATCGATCATTCTACAATATAAATACCCGATTGGATCGTATAGTCCATGATCCAACTCAAATGAAATTAATGATTAATCTTGAAGTGTTGTCCTATAATGATCTTGAATTCTATTATAATATGGTACTGTACATCATCTTCAATGATATCATTGTCGCGTTCATCTGAAATTGCATCCGCTCTATTAAATGTCTCCTCATATTTGATCGTGTGTTCAATAAAACTTGATGCCATTTCCATATCACATGCTGTCAGCCAAGCTTTGGCCCACACAGAAACATCTTTCAAACTAAAAGTCACGTTGTTATTGCGAATAAAAGTTTTCATTTCCGCCCAAGCAAGTTCGATTGGATTGAGCACACAGTGTCTTACTGGCAGACGTAAAATATCAAC